TATCAGCAACATTTTTAATAAAAAAACAAACAAACCTCTTTAATCAACGGAGACTTGAAATTAAGAAATCAACAAATATTTTTTCAGTTTTGTTGTCTGTTATATACTTTCAGTACATGGCTTAATAACAATATTAGGTTATATTTTTGTTGCTAGGCGACATGATATAAAAGCCATTGTTGGAACGTAGTGTTAAGAAAACGCACTGGCTTTTCTATATATAGAAGTTGTTAATCTAACTAATTTTTACCAATAATTACTCTATGAATACGCCACGAATTCACTTCATGAATGATGTTAATTTTGATTGGTTCACAAAGGAATTTACCAACGTTTGACTGCCTCGACTGCACTTTTCTGCCTCTTTGTATTGTCAAGCTTGTTTTCGCAAAATTTATCTGTATCAGTTAACTATGAAATGTGAGGTTATGCCATACTTTGGGGGTGGTAGTACTTGTCCCCTCATTTTTGACGGGCTATACGCTAGTCAGATAATAATACACTATAAATACCTAACTGACACTATGACACTGATATTAACATTATGATCATCTCGGAACGGGCACTAGCGCAAGAAAGTAAGAATCCACGTGAAGTCTAAAAACAGCTGTTGAACGCGGAGTGCCAGAATATAATGTGCAGAATGTGAAATGTCTTCTGGTGTCAGAAGAATATTAACTTTTACCAAACTGAACAAATAACATCCTACATATGTAAAATACACTATGTCACTTTGAAATTATGAAAATTAAAACTTATGTGAGTGCTCAAAACAACATTACACTTTAAAATAAAAACTTAAATACAGATATGGAAATTATTTTGCCTTTAGCTATATTTTATTTTAACTGTTAATATAATTACTTGTTATTTATATGTAATTCTAAGTAGCAAAAAGAGGTCCCCGATGGGACAGCGGTAAGTTTACGGACTTACAACGCTAAAATCCGGGGTTCGATTCCCCAAAGTGACTTTACTCTAAAAAACAAGCAAAAAGAGTGTGAAGCATATATCTTCTTTTAAAAAGCAACGTGCTTCATTCACGATTAGTTTTATTTGGTATTTTTCCTTACTACCTTTTCAAATTTTGACCCAGTTGTTTATATTGACTAGTAAAGTAGACGGAGCTTCATAGTTATAGTTGGTATAATATTTCTTCTTCTTTTTCTCACTATAGAACCAGCACCGTGTGTTGCTTGTAACCAGCCAGATACGTATGAAAACATGATTGACAATTTTTGTCGAGCAGATTTTGGTAAGTGTTTGGGATTAAAACTGATCCTCAAACAAGCTAGCTGACTTAAATGAATCTCACCAAATTGTCCATGTAATCACATTCTTATTTCTTTCGTACAAGTTACCACTTTCCCAACCGGAGAGTTTCTTCCTCATTCATCGCTGTATTCATTTTCACTGCTTACTGCCCTAATTACATCTACACGTGCATAATCTTTTCCCTCTCGCTATTATTACTTTCTCATTCGCTTCTTACCACTTCTTATTTTCCTACTCTCCTAGCTATTTCTGTCACACTCACACAGTTTCCTTCCTTCCAACCTTGTTACTATTTTCACACCTATATGTTTTTTCTCCACCCACCTTTATAATTAATAACACACCCACAAGATCCTTCCACTGTTATTTAGTTCACATTCATGTTTTCCTCTTTTACTCACACTATTATTAATTTCACAGTTGTGTTCATTTCCTACTCACTTCTTGAATTATGTTCACATATAAATGTTTCTTTTCATTTACTTTCTAATATGAAATAATATTTTTGATGTAGCTTTTCATTTAGACAGCATTTTCTTGAACAAGATATTTAAATTTTAGTAAATAAACTGTTTATATTAGTTATTTTTATATCTGTGTTTCGGGATGAAATATCTATAGTGTGATATTTTAAGAACGTAATATTTGTTTCTCAGATCATACTATGAAACTGTTTTTACTATTAAACAAAAATTTAGAATAATATTTGTAGTTGCTTATGAAAATAGAATATTTTTTCAGCATCGGATGAGGCTCATAGAACGGCTACAAGTTTTTTTTTGTTTTGTTTTCCTCAAGTACAAATGTTAGCTCATAGCTAGGCCGTCTCTTGACCGATTTGAGATCTAATTAGTTTTCGAATTAGGAGGTCAAACCTTTTCGATTGGTGTATTTGACTACGCACAAGGTCTTATAGATTAATTCATTCTAATCCTGCCTAAAATAATTTCAATTTGAGGGTAGGTTGGTAGAGATCCTGATGAGTAATAAAATCGAATCGGGTATATGCGCGCCCCACGCTTGGTATTGCTGGCGCACAAAAATATAGTATGTCTGCGGACTTACATCTCTAGAAACCTGGTTTCGATATCCGTGGTGGGCAAAGCACAGATAGCCCATTGTGTAGTTTTACGTTAACTTCAAACAAACAAACAAAATATAGCTAATAAAAAGGGAAACAAAGGTTTCACAGATTAATTTACTCTATTCCTGCCTAAAATAATTTCAAGTACCGCAGCTAGTGAGGATTCACTCTTGTTTGACATAAAATTTAACTTCAAGTATTGCGTTTTAACAACTATAAAAATAGAAACGAGTATACACATTAAATAAATGCCATTGTACGTACACGCTGTTCCTTGTAAATATACAAATCAAACAACTTACTGGTAATAAAACGGATTTAACCAGAAATATTGATCCAGTTTTCAAGAACAGCCTTGAACAGCACTTGGCAAAATGTCACATTTGTACTGCTTTGTTCGCGTAACAGTCTTCGTGTTAATATTTATTCACTTCCTCAAGCCTGCTGTACAAGTCTTTATTAATAGTGATGGTTTGACAGGCCGTTCCATGCTCCGAGCCCTGTTCGTTACTCATAGATGGAAGAAAGTTCCAGGATTATCAGCTTGCCCCGAATGTTCAGCCAACCGACTCATTACGACAAGTGTGTTATCGAACTCACCTACCACGACAAATTAAGACATACATGCTGCAGGTTTTTAAATCAAGAGCAAGGAAAGATTTTCTTAATAAACCTCGCCGGGTGTATAGTATCGAAAACTCAGTAGCGTTCCGAATGCCTTTTTTTTTCTTCTTTCGAGAATATATATATTACAACGCCGAAAAAAGTCTACACAGACATCATTATTAAAAGTCATGGTAACAAGAACGTTGATAAAAGGGTTTCGAATTTCGCTTTTTTCTCTTTCTTTCGAGAATATGTATATATATATATATATATAACATCAAAAAAAGTATACATATGCATCATTATCAAAAGTCATGGTAACAAGAACGCTGATAAAAGCTGCACCAGTAATAACACAAAGAAGAAAAACATTTTTATTCGTCCTACATGAAAAAACAAAACACAAAATCAAACATAAATGTAAAGGTATTCTGTAATTTGTCTTACTTTTAATTTCTGAAGGCTTATTACGTTAAGAACCAGGTTTCGATACCCATGGTGGGCACAGCACAGATAGAGCTCATTGTGTAGCTTTGAGCTTAACTACAAACAAACAAAAGGATTTTTAGTTTTCAGAAACGATGCTATTTTTAATGTTGTTTTTTTCTCACTCGTACTATTTTTTCAAATAAATTTTAAATTGTGTGTTATAGATTAGCTATCTTTTTGTAACTTAGAAACTGTACTTATAACATATATCTGAAATGTTGGAAAAACCATAAAGTGAAACATTTAAGAAACAAAGAACAAAGCCTGAAAAAAGCAAGATTCTGAAAGCAACCATTTCTTGAATAACAGAATCATCTTTTCGTGTTTTTACTAAAATGCTAATCATGGATAGCCAAGTTAAGTGTTAAGGGTGTTACAAGACATATAATTTGATGTCGAGCACCTGGTTTGCTAGTGGTCAGGACTATGAAAAGAGAATGATGCTCTAATCTGAAAAAATGATATCAGGTGAGTAGCGGCAAGATGACAAGAACAAGTAACAGTTTGTGAATAACAATATACGTAGTACAGATTTACAGCCCTGAAGGATTTGTGTGAATAAATTTATAACTGTAGTAAATTGAAACAATTAGATGACGTTGATCCAGGAGTTGAACCACATGTTACGAATCTACAAAAAATGGGCTCACTTATAACGGTACCAGTAATAATGCAAAATAGGGAAAAATGGCACTTTTCTTTCCCCGACTATTATTACCGGATGCATTATTCTAGTGCCGTTTTTCTTGGATACGTTGCTACTAGTGTTATTTTTACCAGATACACCAGTGTTTCCCAAACTATGAGTCGCGACCCACTGGTGGGTCGCAAGTGGAATGTTAGTGGGTCGTAAAAAGTTATACTAGAATTACGCATTAGCTTCGATTAAACGCTGTCTGTCGAGATAGTTCAAAACTCGGGCTTTCATTGCCAGGCTGT